TTTGAAAACATACAAAATGATTCATCAGAACCGATAAATGAAACAGAAAATTTGCAACAAGACAAACATACTAATGTATATAATTTAAGAAACCGACAGTTAGTAAAAGCACCAGATCGGTACGAAGCAAGCGTCGCAATTTTTAATGAACCAGCGACCTTTATCGAGGCAACCACAGGGGAGAACGCGAATCAATGGAAGTCAGCGATTAAAAAGGAACTTGAAGCCCATAAAAAGAACGATACTTGGACTCTGGTTCCATTGCCAAAAGATCGTAACATAATTGAGTGCAAATGGGTCTTTAAAATAAAAGAAAATCCCGCCGATAATGACATTCGTTTTAAAGCTCGTCTATGCGCAAAAGGCTTTCTACAAAAGGCCGGACTAGATTATTCCGAAACCGTTCTCTCCCGTGGTTCGCTACGATTCGATTCGCGTATTATTGGCAACCGCCGCAAAAATTTAAAAATCGGTCAATTCGACATTAAAACCGCCTTTATCAACATTTTGAGTGAAAAAATTTATATGCGCGTACCGGAAGGAGTAGAAATAAGCGATAAAAACACAGTCTGTAAATTGAACAAAGCCCTGTAGGTCTTAAGCAGGCAGCGAGATGTTGGAATAAGCAATTCCACGAATTCCTGCAAAAATTCAATTTCCAGCAGAGCAACGCCGATCAATGCGTCTACCTTGGTCAGTTCGAGAATGAAAATGTATACCTTACTCTTTATGTAGACGACAGACTTGTACTAACGTCATCGCGAAATGTCTTAAACAAAGTCTTGCAAGCCCTCGGTACTGTTTTCGAAATGACCAAAGGAAACGGAGACATATTTGTCGGAATAGAGATCGAGCGCGATCGTTCAAATAATGTTATTTTCATACACCAAAGACATTACATTAATCGTTTACTATGTCGCTTTAGAATGTCCGATACAAACCGTATCAATTCCCGCCGATCCTCACGCGAATCTGCGATCAGCCGATTCCAAAGACACGATATGTAAAAATGTACCATATCGCGAAGCCATTGGTGCATTATTGTTTTTAGCATCCGTGTCAAAGCCCGACATTTCCTATGCGGTCGGAATCGTCAGCCGATACTTAAACAATTACAATGAAAAAATATAATATATTATTCTGGCTCATATAATTAAAAATTAACGAAGTATCAAATGAAGGGCTAGTGAGCCTTGCACGAAGTTAGTGCTAAAATTACAAATATTTAACAATAATAATTATCACCCAA